AGGTCCACCAACACTTTCAATAATAGGCCCCTATAATTTGTTGGTGTTTTATTGGCAACATCACATACTGTCTGTAATTTGTGTGACTGGGAGGGACTTTCCTGGGCTAGAGTGATTATCGTGATTAGCATTAACCAATTGTTCCTTTGAGCTTTTGAATTCAAAGAGAGACCTGCATTTCTGTTGACTGTTTGTCATTCCCTCTCTTTCATCTGTTAGAGAGAATGTAGTTTGTTTGCTGTTAATCTGTTTAGTTGGTTGATGTATATGTGTGAAGTAAAGAAAACATACACAAGTTTAGACATTCAGGTAACTATACGTAAGTAAATAAATACTTTTTATTCTTTCTCCTACAATTGTCTCAGAGTAAGTTACTGAGTCTTTTTAAGTGCCAGTTAATGAGAATGGGATGGACTCTGGGAAACTTGTAGCTATTCTATATGGGTTTCTGTACTTCTATTGCATAGCAAAAGGAATTTTACCAGCATTTCAAAACTTGATATAATAATAATTTCTTACCCCGTAATGATAATTTCAGGATATGTCTGTGCTCCTAGGTTCCATGCTCCACCGTTGATAGGCCACTCCTGACACAGAATAGTTAAGCTTTAAAATTGCATTCCACATACTGAAATGTTATTTTCTTATAAATTCAACTTTTCTCAGTTCTTTAAACATTAATATATCCTGTCCAATTGGGGAAAAATTCTTAAAGAGAATACTGCAATGGGTACCTTTATGCCACCCATTGAATTGTACATTCAATAGCAATTTTGTCCAGGCTTTCTGGACTTCCATGCACAGACAAAACTGTGAGAATATAACCTTGATTTTAAAAAAACAAGTTTCTGGTCTACACAATTTAAAAAAGGCCTTGAAACTATATTGACAGTTTGTTCCAATATATAAGAGGGGAGATCTTTCATGCCATGCACATCTAGTGGAATTCCGAGTTTCAGACATTTCTGCCTACACAGTTATGTTGATCATATGTGCAGCAATCTTGGAAGCCAGAGAACAGCATTTTTATTTTCCCGAACTTCTCAAAGGTCTACAGAGAAAAAGGGTATGGCTCGGCCACCTTCAGGGGCTCTGGACAAGGGGAGCAGATGGTGCATCCCTGAATTAGAGACTTGTCAAAGACTTTAATTATTCAGTTTTCAAAGTCAACACTTCTTGGTCTTCTTGTAAACTGGTAACAGTTTTAGAGATGCCTTGCAATTAGAGATGCAATTATACGAATACCCCCATAGGCGGACATAATGAGGGTCTGGCCCCCTGGTGCCGGACTATCCATTCACCATTCTGCTGCTGCCGTGGGCTCAGCACTCACTTTCTATTGCTGCAGAGCACCCGGTCAGCCAGCCACTCTTCAACCAGGCAAGGAGGCTCGTCATCCTGCCTCCTGCCAGGAGTGGCTAATCGACTGCAAGCTGCAGAGTGACAGGAAGGGAGCACATAGCCTGTGACAACAGCGGCAGATGAGTGGATGGTCCAGCCCAGGGAGCTGAACTCTCATTATGTATGGTGCAGTGGCATTCATATTTGTATACAAAAAAACCCCATGTCTACTTGCAATAGTCTTCAAACTATTGTCTAAGCCCCACTTAATTTCATCAAATTTTTTTTGCAGTTCTTTTGTTTCAAAGTTCTTGAACTGAGATTCTAAAAGCTGACTAATACTTTCAGTACTGTTGAAGTATTCTCTGTTATATTCTTCGGATGTCTTCCTTACAAGCTCAAAGCACTAAGTAAAATACTAAATTTCCCCTACTCTGGCCACCCTGTACTAGTTGCCTGTTCGTTTCCTTGCCAACTTCAAGGTGATGGTGCTGACATACAAAGCCCTAGATGGTTTGGGACCTTGATACCTGGAGGAAAACCTCCTTCCGACAAGATCTGCCCATCTTATATAATCTTCCTAGGCCAAGTAGTTGAGACTATTGACCCCCAAGAAAGGCTCCGAAAGAGATGACCAATAAACCGGGTCTTCTGAGCTGTCACCCCCCAACCTTTGGAATAATCTCCCACCAGAAATCCACGGGGCCTCTTCCCTGGGAACTTTTAAACGATTGCTAAACACATGTGTTTTTTTTTGACAGGCCTTTCCAGACCTTGTAAAATCTTAACGCTGTGGTCGTTTTAATTTTTATTTAACCAGTTGTGCCAGCTTTCCTCCATTTTATTTTAATCATTGTTAGTTCAGTTTGTTGGTGTATATGTGATGAATGTTGATTTTATAATTATTATGTTAATTGTTTTAAATTCTTGTTTGATATGATATTTAACATATAAAATGCCCAAAGTGGTCTTAGTAGCCAGATGGGCGACAGAAAAGTTAAACAAACAAACAAACAAACAAATATGAACCACTAAAATAATTAAGAAAAAAGACACATTAAAAATAAGATTACTATAAATAAAGAGCAAGTGCTTAGTTACACCTTCAACAGAACTTTTCGGGGTATTTGTCTTACCTTATTGCTGTATCCTTGCTTCTTATGTTTAGCGCCTACAGAATACAGTACAGGAATCAAGTCTGGTGGACAGTCAGCAAAATAGTCTGTGCAGGTGACTGGTGAGTCGTGAATGTCCATGGGATAAGGATTTTCAAAAATTGGAAAACTAATTGAGGGAGATATTTTGTGGAATTGTATTAACATACTTTTTAGGTACAAAATTTCATAAAATAGATAATCTGTGCTAAAAACAAACACCCTGCCACCAATTATTAAGTGCTATTGTTTTAAAGCATCTTTTCAATACCCGGTGCACAATTTACATTCGAAAAGTAATGATATAAGCCAGAAATGGTCCTAACTTCTAACCATGTTAATTTAAAGATGAATGCATACTAAAAATCTAAAAGCTAGTTTAGTCACTATGGTAGGTTAATTACCATGACTTTTCCCCATGGTACTCTGAAAAATCATATTTTTTTTCTGAGAGTGCTATCTGTTGCCTGTTAAGTGTCTTAATTCTGTTAAGTGTCTCACCAGAAAGGCAAATCTGGGAGTGGGTGGTATTGCTTCAGGCTGTAGGTGGGAGCTCATATATATATAAAATATCTATTCCAACCCCACACTCATTCCAGGATATGCAACGCAGGAATCAATCACATAATCACATCAAGATGTGAGATATCTTTACTGAAGCTGCTGTAATGTACATTTGTGTTTTCTTTTAAACTAAAAGTTCCTGTATA